GTAAAATGGAGATCCTAGTGGCCCCTCGAGGAGGGTTGTTTTGAGGATTAAATAGGATCTAAACAGTTGCTGTTTTTGGTACACTAAAAACATAGGGTTAATTTGCTTTACAGCTATTTTAAAATATTCTTTAGTTTTAGGCAGTGTGGTATCTACTATTCCCTAGTCCTGAGCATGTTTCTCTTGTGGGATCTTCATGGAATTAGTTGTGGAAGCCTTTGGGCTTTGCCCTGGGGCACACTGTGAGTGTCGGCTTCACAACTATGTGGCAGGATTCACACTAACTGGGGAGTGGATGGTAGCTTTTCCCCGTTTCCACATTGGCATATCCCCATCTCATTGTGTGGAATTCCTGTGTCCAGTGGTCACCAGGACTCAGAAGGACTTCTTGGTCTGCATCATGTCACTGACTTGCCTTGTAGCCTGGGAGCTCTACCTGCATTCCTGGCACCCACTTGCCAGGAGTCACAGTTTTCTGGGCGCCCCGTTAGGGCCTTATGTCTTGGGTCCGTTTTTTCTGATATAGAAAGTCTTCCCATCTCCAAACTATATGGCAAACTGTTTTTCAGATGAATTTCCCCTGCTGACAACCAAACGCGTATTCTGGAAGGGTATTTTGGAAGAGTTGCTGTGGTTTATCAAGGTAAAGAAGTTGCTACTATTGGAAGTCAACAGTATGTTCTCTACACAGCAGCTGGGGGAGGGGCCTTTTAAAAGTCAGATTATGTGACTCCTCAGCCCAAAGCCCTTAGTGGATCCCATTCACTTAATAAGAGCCAAGGTCCTTATCAGGGCCCCTTTTCCAGCTCTGGCCTTGGCTGCTGCTCTGTGCTCCACCCATCCTGGCCCCTGTGCTGATCTTTGAGCACATGGAGACATTCCCGCCTACAGCTCTGGCACTCACAGCTCCCACTCCCTGGAACATGTAGCCTGGCGCCCTCACCTCCTTTTTTTGTCTTTTGTCTTTTTCCGTGTCCGGCAACAGATCGCAACCCTCAGTGTTGCCCCCAGACCGGACCGGGGACCGGCAACGGGATCGCAACCCTGGGTGTCGCTCCCGCGCCTCGCTCAGCCAGTGAGCGGGAACCGGTCT